CTTTAAAAGAACACAAGATAAAGTTTGCTCCACAAAATCAACAACTTCTTGAGTTACCAAAACCCTTTTTCGAAATAGCAAGAGGAGCACACAAAATCAACTCAAAATTTACATAAACATATATACAACTCAAAGAAAACCCTACCTCAATGTTTGATGAAGAAACAAGAGATGACACCCTAGCTTCAAAGGAGGATTCTTCAACTCCCACTACACCAAGAGGGGCCCAAGCTTGATCTTCAAGATTAGAGGAAGATGAGGATGATCTAGACCCAAAGGATAGCAAGAATCAAAGTGTTTTGGTGTTTTGGTGAGAGTTTCTAGAGAGAAGGAGGAGAGAAATGAGGTTTAGAGTGAGAGAAATATGCCCAAAATATGATACACATTCGGCCAAAAGACTGCCGCACATGCGACGCCCTTCCCCGCACGTGTGGTGGCCCTTTGCCGCACCTTCCTCCGCACCTGCCTTTTAGGCACTGTGTAGCCTCTCATCCCCCCTGAATTCTGCACGTGCGGCCTAGCCTTCCACACGTGAGGCCCAAGACCCCCGTACGTGCAACTAGCTAACCAGCCCAGAAAAGTTTTTGGTTCAACCCTCGGGCACTCCGAACCTGACCTCACGTTCTTCGGAACCAATAAAATCTTACACCGAGCGAAAACAAGGACAAGGACTTAATTTTGAGAATTATTTCCGGACGTTTCAAACCCAATGAGAGCAAAAGAGGACGAAGTGAAGAGAAAAGAAAAGAAGGAAAATAAAGACCCGGTCGTCATAGAATCTTTAGGTACATGTCTACCAGTAGGCTATAAAAGCACTACCAAAGCTATTTTACCACTACTAAGCAGAAGGATCGACACCTAACCGCACGGGTTTCTGGACTTTTTTCAAGGGCACACATGCCAACATCATAACCACAACTACACCCCCTAACTAGATTCTCCAAGGTATTCACCCATTTTTCTCAAAATCACTACATTTTCAATGTTCAATATCAAACGATGCTTGATGCAAGATGTATGAAAAATTGGTTTCAATTTAACCTAATCCTCATTTAATGTCTACAACAATCAAGACTATCCACCACTAATAGCTCAAAATAGATATTTCTACTCAATATATATTTTATTCAACAATAGATAAAATCTCAACAGTTTCAAAATGTGAGTGATAATAAATATCCAACTCCACTCTCATCATCAACAAATACATTCTGTATATCTATTCAAGGTCCAACACCTTTTCCTTTACTTCCATAAATCAAATATCAATGATTTTCAACAAAATCTTTTTTGTTCTTTAAAATCTCATTCAAAGAATAATTTTCCACAATTTCCACACAACCCAACCCAACAATAAATGCCCTTCTACAACATTCTCAAGCATTTATTTGAAAAACCCCTATTTTACTTTCCAAAACCAAACCCTAGGTTTAACCAAGAACCCCCAAATCACTAACCTATTTCAAAGAGCAAATAACTAAGCTAAGAACCATATTAAAGGTTGAAGAAACCCTCACCTCAAAGTAGAAGACAAGAGGGAACAAAGGTAGAACCTTGACGGAGCCGAAAACAACAACTCCTTCAATTGAGACGAAGCCCTCAACGTGCTCTACCTTTTTCTCCAAAAGGGTTAGGGTGAAGAAATCAAAGAAGTGGGAGTATTTAGGGCTAGAAGGTAAGAACTAGAGAGAGTGTGTGTGGATTTAAGGTTTTTAGAGAGAGAGAGAGAAATGAAAAAGTGACTCAAAATGGCCTTTTCTCTGACTGATATATGCATAGACCGCTCAAGCGACTAATACACCGCTCAAGCGTCAAACACAATAAGTGACACCACTCAAGCAACCAAAACTACCACTCGAGTGCACAATGACCTCCTCCCAAAAAAGACCACCCAAACACAAGAAGGACTGCTCGAGCGAAGATACCACACTTCTAGCAGTTTTGAAGACTATAAAAGATCACTCGAGCACAAAAAAGACCACTCGAGCGAACAGGCAAAAAATCTGGGCAGCAACTCTTTGAAAAACTAACTTCCAAACTTGTTTCAAACGCAATCACAACTCCCGAATAACCAAACTCAACTAGTAACAAGATGAAAATGAGATGAACAATAATTAAGGACATGGATTCTCGGGTTCGAAAGCAAGAAATGGGAAAGGTCTAAATCGAAATTGTTATATAGAGTATATATATCTATATAATATGGTAGAACGTTTTTTGAATTTATGCATATTTTTGTCCTACATGGCATCATCAATGATTCAGATCATTCCATCTACAAAATTAATCATCAGATTTTTTTGGTCCAAAATATGTTTCCTGCCTATCTCTCCTCTCTTCTCTCATCTTTTATCATTCCACTACTCTCTAATCTCTCTCTCTCTCTCTCTCTCTCTCTTTTAAACACACACACTCTCTCTCTCTTCTACCTTTCATCACTCTGTCCTCTGCCTCTCCTCTCAGCACCATCGCTCTCAACCAAGAGCACATTGTCAACAAAACCCTTTCTCTGCCTTCATGTCCTCTTCATCTTCCTCCTCTATTGTCGTCGGAAGCAACATCTCTACCATCTACAACAACTCTCCACTGCTACGTCGTTTCCATACTGCAATCTCCATCGACAGCAACTCTTCATCTCTTCTCTCTCTCAGTTCTCAGATCTTCTCTCAAATCTTAACCCGCAACAGCGCCTCCATCCTTCACCGTCGAGAGTTTGATAAGTTTTTGAAATGGGTTCGACGGTTTTGAAATGGGTTTCATTTTTAAATATGTTTTGATTTCTGAAAGGTCTCATTGTGTTGGGTTTGTGTATTTTTTTTTTTTTATTTCTATTGATTAGGTACGTGTTTGGATTTGTGTTTCTAAGATTTGGGTTTGGATTTGTGATTTTTTAATGTGTTTTAATGAATGTTTTGGGTAAATGAATTTTCATTACCCATTCGAAGCTCAAACTTGAGCAACAATGGAGTTCAAAGAGGAAGAGAGAGACGTAGAGGAAAAAGAGAGACATAACCCTCTGCTCAAAAAAGAACAAAAGAAAAAAGTAGAAGAAGAAAATAAAAAGTAGGCAAAGGGAGTGGGAGGCAACCCACGTGAGTCTGTTTTCCCTTCCCAAGGATTCTCACTCAACCCACCTCATAAATTAATACAAAATATATTGTATAATATCTCAAAATTTTATAATATAAATTTGTTTTCATATATTTTTATCAAAAAGGGTATTACTTTTATATTAAGTTGATAATTTATTTTCTTATAAGATTGAATTGGGTACGAATTAATCTATTTGAATAATTGTTCATTGCACACTGTCTAGAAATGTTTATTAAAAAAATATGAAAAAATTAAGTAGCTTTAGTTATTCAGAAACCTAACATCATTAAAAATGTTTATATTTATTAGTGTAATGTCATTAAAAAAGATTGGTTATGTTAAAAAATGGTTGTGTGAAAAATTGTTTATTTATTTGTGATAAATTTGAATTCAAAATTTAAATTAAATTCTATTAAAAAAAATAGTGATAAAAAAGTGGTTTACATTTCACTATGGAATTTGAAATATTGGCAAGTGCAAATGAAAGAGAAGAGAAATAATGGGGGTGATGTGATTAAATTGTTTGGCATTTGGTATTTGATTATGTTATGGTTGGTGTATGTATCGGTCAATGACAAAGAGTATTTAATAATGATGTGATTAAGTCCTCTCTCTCCTCTCGTCACCCTTGCTCTCTCTCTCTCTCTCTTGTCTTCTTCTCTCTCCTCGCGCCTAATCTCTTATTTTCTTCCTTTTCAAATTTCAAAATAGTTATGTTTGGAATCTCAAATAATTTATTAAATTTTTTATCAAATATTTTACATAAGTATGTGATTTATATATATGTGAGTTTCTGTGAATTTTACACCCATATAAAAAGTTTGATAAAATATTTAGTAAATTATTTGAGTTTCATAACATTTTTCACTTCAAAATTCTCTTTTGTCTTCACTATCTCTATTAAAAAAAGCAAATAATGTGGTGAGAGTAGAGTCTCTCCACTCTCTCTCTCTCTCTCTCACTCTTTCTTTTGATTATTTTTTTTTAAGATTTATTATATAAATGTTTATTATTGAATAAATCTAAAATGGAATCTATATTTATATATAAATTATATTTTAATCCAATAATTTTATATTTAATTACATTTTGATCTAATTATTATTTACACTGTGCCTTTAAGCACAGACATACACTAATATATACATATTGAAAAATTATTAGGTAGTATTAGAGATTCTATTGATATTGTTTATGTGGTATTCTTAACAAATAAAGAATTCCAAAACATATCAAGTAGATTATTCTTTTCTCTCAACTAACAAAGATGGGTCAAAATTGTCTCACCCATAAAGTTTATGATATGTTACTAGCAGTTAACCAATGCAATATACGTTACAAAATATAAGTATATATTTTGAAAATCATACTTTATAAATTTTGTTCGAATTATATTTGTGTATATCAATATGTATCTACTTAAGTAGGGTCAGTCTACAATATAAATTTTTCTTTGACGTGTATCATATACAAGTTATGATATTTGTGGAAGTCATAACTAAAAAAACTCAATAAGTTATAATCAAATACTACTTAAAGAATAACCAAAGACCTTTTTGGTCATAACCAAAACAATAATCACAACTAACATTATAATGAGTGATAACCAAGTCATAACCAAAATTATTTGAGTTTTTATTTGTGAGTTTTGATTTAATTTTAATTTATTTGAGTTAGTTAGTATTGAAATATGATGTGCAAAATATAAATAGTTAAATTATATTTTTTTATAAATATTTTTATAGAGAAAATTAGAGTAGGACTTTTTTTTGATAAATAAAGGACTGGCTCGCAACTTCCCATTTATTTATTTATTTTATCAGCAAGCATGCAAATAGTTATTACTGCCAATAGTACAATATTATTTATTTATTTATTTATTAAAGTATTGCTTTGTTTGTTATCAGACATGGCTATGGCTATCTGTGATGCTTTGATTTCCATTGAAGGAAAAGTTATTGAATTATTGGTGAAGCCAGTTGGGCGTCAATTCGATTATGTCTTCTATCGAGTGAAATACATTGAAGATCTACGAGAGCAAGTACAAAATTTAGAGGCTCAGAGAAAAGATGTGCTCGACTCCATCAATGCAGCAAAAAGGAACAGAGAAGAAATTCTAGTAAGTGTCAAGAATTGGATTGACAAAGTTAATGGGTTCATTCTTGAGGCTAAAGAGTTTCTAGAAGGTGGTACCAATGTGAATTTGAAATGTTTCAACGGGTGGTTTCCTGATTTGGTCACAAGATGCCGGCTAGGTAAGGAAGCAAAAAATAAAGCAGAGGAGGCTAAAGAGCTGGGAAAAGAAGGCAAATTCAATAACAACATATCCAAACCTGCACTTCCCTTGGGGATAGAATCCATACCCTCTGAACAGTTCGTGCCTTATGCTTCTAGAAATTCAACAATGACGAGTGTAATGGAGGCACTAATTGACGAAAAGATTAACATCATTGGAATACATGGTATTGGGGGAGTTGGAAAGACAACTTTTGTGAAAGAAATCGGCAAAAAAGCAAAATCTAATAAGCATTTTGATGAAGTTGTGATGGCTGTAGTGTCTCAGAACCCAGACATTAAAAACATTCAAGGTCAAATAGCTAGCATGTTGGGTTTCACCAGATTAATTGATCAACAAAGTGAAATCGAAAGAGCAAGCATGTTGTATGCAAGACTCAAGGATGTGAAGAAGATCCTTGTTATATTGGATAATGTTTGGGCCAAACTTAATTTGGCAGCCGTGGGTATTCCATTTGGAAATGATCACCAAGGTTGCAAAATCATAATCACAACACGGCGTGAACAAGTATGCAATTCCATGGGAATGGAAAGGCTGAGGACAAAGATTGTTCATCTCGGTGTTTTATCTGAAAAAGATTCATGGGACTTGTTCAAAAAGAATGTTGGCGATGTTGTTGACTCTAATGTGTTGACTGTTGTCGCTAATGAGGTTTGTAAAGAATGTGGAGGCCTGCCAATAGCACTTGTTACGGTTGGAAATGCAATGAAGGGAAAAGATGACCCTACTTTATGGGATGAGGCAGCTCGAGAATTGAGAAAATCAGTGCCAACAAACATTGAAGGTGTCAATCAACATGTGTACAAAAGTCTTAAGTTGAGCTATGACTACCTGCAAGATGAGGAAGCCAAGGCTTGCTTCTTGCTTTGTTCTCTATTTCCCGAGGATCATAACATCTTAATAGAAGACTTGGTACGATATGGGATGGGGTTGAGGGTATTCAAAAATGTTGATACAGTGCATGAAGCCAGGGGCAGAGCAAAGTCAGTAACCAACAATCTCATAGCTTCCTGTTTGTTATTAGCTAGTAAACAAGATTGCATCAAAATGCATGATGTTGTACGTGATGTTGCCATAGATATTGGATCCAAAAAGTATTTTGTACGAGCTGGTTGCAATTTGAATGATTGGCCAAAGATCAATAGTTTGGATCAATACACTGGCATATCGTTGATGAGAAATCAAATCAGTAACCTTCCTGAGGTCTTAGAATGTCCAAAGCTCCAAATATTACTATTACAACACAATAAAAATGAATGGTCATGTTCACATGAATTCTTTTCAAGGATGAATGCACTTAGTGTTTTAGATTTGAGCCAACAACTTGACTACAATTTTGACTGTAGTCCTGATCTAATTCGTAGTCCTGATGCTTTCAATAACCAAACGTGTCTTCGAACATTAGTCCTTGACAGAATTAAGTTTGGGGACACTAAATATCTTAGACAGTTAAAGACGCTTGAAGTCCTTAGCCTTCGGTGTGCCTTTTTTTCCGAGGCACCAAATGCAATAAGGGAGTTAACTAATCTAAGGTTATTGGACATGACTGAAAGCCATCATGAATTTCTGATTCCGGCCACAATGGTATTGCCTTTATCCCATTTGGAGGAGTTGTACTTGTTTGGTACCAAATATTCTAGAAGGATCGGAGACTCGGACCCTGCAATAGAAGACGCTGACCTTGCAGCGGAATACCCAATAGAAGGCCCAGAAGACCCTGACCCTGCAGTAGAAGTAGCTGCTGCACTAAGATCTTGGCCTCGCCTAAAAGTGCTAACCATTTCCATACCTGACATTGCGTATATACCCAAGGACTTTGTTTTTCCTGAGCTGGAAAGTTTTATTATTTTTATTGGAAAATCGAGTTCAGAGGCGAGCGTTGAAAATTATTCCCCAAATTATTTGGTACTTGGAAATTTGGTTGGAACCATGGTTTATTGGAGTAAATGGCTAAAGATGGTGTTGAAGAGAGCTACACGTCTAAAGATTGTAGATTGTTCTCAATTCGAATACTTGATCAACATAGAGGAATGGGGGATTTCATCACATGCACAACAACTGGATCTGCAATTGCTCTTCAACCTGGAAGAATTGGAACTCAGCTGTTTGGTTACTTTCAAAGGGATATGTGCAGCAAGTGCACTTACTACTTCGAGTTGGGTGTGCTTCCCAAAGCTCAGAAGTTTGAAAGTTGGCGATTGTCCGTCACTATCAACTGTTCTTCTTCCATTCAATTTGCTTCAAAGGCTACAACATTTGGAGAAGCTTCGGGTAGCAGAATGCGAGAAATTGGAACAAGTATTTGATTTTGGTTCTGAAGGAGAAGGCATGAAGCTGCTTTCTAGTTTGAGAGATTTATATCTAATCAAGTTGCCTAGATTGAAGCATATATTGAACTGCTCCAGTCGTCAACATGTGCAACTCTGCAACCTAAGATTTATGTCTGTCGTTTCATGTGACAAACTGAAATATGTCTTCCAACCTTCCATAGCTCAAGCTCTTCATCAACTTGAAGTGCTTTGGGTAATTAAGTGTGAAGAAATGGAGGAAATTGTTGCTGCGAAGCAAAACGAAGGGCAACAAGAAGAAGAAGAGAGAGTGTTCAAAAGTCTCAAAAAACTCTACCTTCAAGATCTTCCAAATCTAAGTGGTTTCTGCACAGGAGGAGACGACTGTCCTTTTGAATGGCCATCCTTGGAAGAACTTACAGTGGAAAACTGCCCCAAAATGAAGACTTTCGCTGCCACTACTTCTGGCAGCACACCAAAACTGAAGGAAGTTTATTCAGATGAATCCGTGATACCGCTACAGGGGATGGACTTGAATCAGTTTGTGCAAACCCATATCATTTCAAAGCCACCTAAGGTACTTCTATATTTTACCACATTTAACATATATATATATATATATAAGCATAAAACCTATGCTATGCACAAAAGAGTCAAAATTTTATTTATAAATTAAAAATAATGAAACCTATTAAAATATATATATTGCACAATCCCGATTTATATTTCTCTTTGTTTTTAATATTTTATTAAAAATATTTAAATTTGAAAGAGAAAAAGAGATGTGATTTTAGTTGTGGTGTGAATCTAATATGGTGGAGTTAGTAGATTTTGATTATGATAGAGATTTGATGGGGTAATTTTTAGTAGTATAAGGTAGATTTAGATTAGTAGTGATTCAATATTTTTTATACATCAAAATTAGGTCTTATCTTGTGGGTATTCTAAAATTTGAACCTTACACATAAGAAATTTTTTTAGTGAACATTGGGCGACATGATAAATAATCTAAAGATTATAAAAAAAATTATTTTTATTTTTTTATATTTATTACATTTTTTATAATCAAATAGTTATGATTGAGATATAGTCAAATATCTGACCCAATTGATCATGACCACGTATGTCGATTAATTAATCTAAAAAAAATTAGGTGTTTTTATTTATTTTTTTATTTGTAGTAGAATAAGATAAGTATTTTTAATGCTCAATTTTATTTTTTTTAAAGTTTAATAAATAGTTATGATTAAGTTATAGTCAAAATGTTTAACCCAATTAGATTCTAACCCATGTAATAGATGTTTTTAATTTTAATTTTTTAAATTTAGCTAATAGATATAATTGAATTGTAGTCATGTATAATCCCATTAAATTTTGTTACTTATATCAATAAGATAATTGTTTTAATTTTTAAATTTAGCAAAGATGATTAAAGGATGATTCAATAGAAACAAAATTGATACTGTTACTTTATCAGTTTTTTCCCATAAGGAGTCTCAAGTTTTTTTTTTTTGGAAAAAATAAGATTAAGAAGAAAAATATCTTAATATAAAATTAATCATTAAATAAAATGAGCCATAATATCTCATACTTAAGCTAAACAATATGAATAATATCTAACAACTGACTTTATTGTTTTAATTTTTAAATTTAGCAAAGATGATTAAAGGATGATTCAACAGAAACCAAATTGATACCGTTACTTTATCAGTTTTTTCCCATAAGGAGTCTCAAGTTTTTTTTTTGGAAAGGAAATAAGATTAAGAAGAAAAATATCTTAATATAAAATTAATCATTAAATAAAATGAGCCATAATATCTCATACTTAAGCTAAACAATATGAATAATATCTAACAACTGACTTTTGCCGATCCAAATATATATATATATATATATATGAATAATTATTCAAACTAAATATTTATAATTTTTATACCATACAATTTATTAATAAAGTTCTCACATAAACAATAGAATAGACAAGTGAGAATAAAAACAATAAAAAAAATAGAAAAAAACATATATCCATTTAATAATTGCAATCAATAATTGAAATGAATTTTTAAGATATCATATAGAACTAGAAGCGGAACCAGAAAATTAAATCAGAAGGGGCACTTATTAATTATAATAGTGAAATTTTTTACAAAAATATTTCACATAAATTTTTATGATTGACTTTGAGAAAGATAAAAAAAAAAAAATGATGTTATTTGTAACTAATGTATCATAGACAATACAAAAAAAGTTATGGATATAAGTGTTAAAATAAATTATAAAATGATAAAGTAATTTTTTTATACAAAATTTGAGTAAAAATTCAATATAATGGTAATATTACGTCATCATTGACATGTGATATCATCAACCAATAATAAAAAACACATGAAGAGTAAATCTCACATGTCAAATGTAACTAACAATTCAATAAATTATATATCTTTATAGTAAGATTAATTATGCTTGCATGCCAATAATAATAGATATCACCATTACATTAAAAAAAAATTATAAATTTTTTATAGATAATAATATGACTTATCGTAATTTTTTAATTTTCAATCAAAACAATCATTATTGTTTTCGTAATTTTAAAAATTTCATTGACATTCCACTTTAAATAATATTTTTATAATTTTTTTAAAAAATATTTTCTTTATATTTGATAAAAAAAAAAAAAGAAACCCAAAACCCAGGGGGGCACGTGACCCCTCTGGCTCCTCTCTATCTCCGCCCCTGTATAGAACTAATAATTAGATCAATAGAGACTGAAAAAGTTTATAGACCTAAGTAGATTTTATGTAAAACTATATACACCGTATGTGAATTTATATGAAGTTGACCATATTGCTTAAAAAGATCTATCATTAAAATATATAATAAAATAAAGATGAAAAAAATTTGCATGGAATTTGGAGTTAGGAGATATAAAATATTGATAACTTAAAGAAATTTTTATGATCATGAATACGTTAAGAGAGAGAGGGGAGGGGAGGGGAATGGATTTTGTTGGGAGTTGTTTCCAATGTTGGGTTTTGTTGGTGGATGTTCAGATTTATAATTAGATCAATAGAGACTGAAAAAGTTTATAGACCTAAGTAAATTTTATGTAAAACTATATAGACCGTATGTAAATTTATATGAAGTTGACCATATTGCTTAAAAAGATCTATCATTAAAATATATAATAAAATAAAGATGAAAAAAATTTACATGGAATTTGGAGTTAGGAGATATAAAATATTGATAACTTAAAGAAATTTTTATGATCATGAATACGTTAAGAGAGAGAGGGGAGGGGAGGGGAATGGATTTTGTTGGGAGTTGTTTCCAATGTTGGGTTTTGTTGGTGGATGTTCAGATTTATATAAAAACTTAATTTAAAGATAATGTATTTTGGAGGTTTAGTGTTTAAATTCAAATTTGATTTTTGGATAGAGATAAGGAGCTAAAGATATCATAGAAAATTTAAATTTAAAATTTTAACATCACATTTTTTAAATACAAATCAATTATTTTATTTTTTTTAAAAGCAAACATTTATCTGATAAATGCAAACACTTATCTAGTTGTTTATTTATTTTTGACCTTTTTCATATATATATATATATATATATATTGTAAAATGAAGTATGATCCAATAGAAATTGAGTATGGCATTTTCTAATTTTTTTTAAATGTAAAAATTCAAAAATTTTGGATTGAGATTTTAGATAGACACCCACAAAGATATTATCTGATTTTTTTTTTTTTTTAAATATATATAACAGTTAGGAATAAGAGTTGTGGGATTTGTGAGTTCTTTTTTTTTTATTTAATTTAAATTTACCTAATATAGTGATAGACATGTGCCAGTTTCTATATACATATCTATACATAAAACTCTAAGGAGAGACATTATTTAATTTTTTTATTATTATCTTTTATATAACAATTAGAGAAGAGAGTGAGAAGACCTGAATAGTGAGAAGGGAGGTGAAGAGAGATACCACATATTTATTTATTCCAAAATTATGAGAATTTAAGAATAAACATTTGGAGACGTTTGACATAATACCTACATTTGCTTATATAATATTATATATTATATATATATATATTATAGATAGATAGATATATCAGGTAATTACTTACATTATGAGGCAATGTTTTTCTTAAAAAAAAAATAAAAAAAAATTAAATTAAATTGGGTCCTTGACTAATGAACTAGTAAATCAATGGACTATATATATTCATTGTGTTTGTATGATTCATATCCGACTAATTTTAAATTAACATCATACACTTCAGTTTCAGAATAAATTTTAAGATGAAAATTCATGATAATTTAGTTTGTAGATAATTAAAGATCTCTAGTAATTTTGAATTATATTTAGAGCAATACTACACACACAAAATATGTACACTTAAAAATACTCAAAAATTTTAATATACGGTCGAAATTCATTCAATTTTTTTAGGTATATTATTGTGCATGAATTTTGTGCATAGAGAGGCCCTTTATTACACTCAAAAAACATTTTTAATTTTTTATTTATTTATATAGATTACACTTTTTAATGTAAAATTTATTGTTTTCTTTTATTATTTAGTTAAAATTTAACATATTGTCTTTTTTCATGCATACAGTTTTACTTTTATTTTTAAGTGTTAAGTTAAGTTGATGGATAAAGAAATTTTACTTTTTATTGGCCTTTTACAATGAATGTTCATTTATGTCTTTATTATTGAATGCCTTTGACTATCTAAAAAAAAAAATTTGAGATAATAAATTATTTAATATTCTAGCAACTACTCACATGGTAATGCTCCCTACAACGAACCATTTGAATAGTTCTATTTTTGTTTGGGAGTTTTTTTTAATCAAATTTTAGTATAAGGACCTTTGGACAATGAATTTTTTTTAGGCCTTTGGATAAAGATGGAAGAGACCTAGTGGATTGAGATAATGCCTTCCTTAAATAAAAAAGAAAATGCTAACAATGGATTTCTTTTTTTCTTTTGTTTTTATGCCTCTTAATAAATTTTATATTAGGTTTTGGTAAGGGATTGTTTTTTTTTTTTTTTGGTTTCAATTTGTCGAATTCCAAAAGTGAGACCTTAGGCGATCGCCTTAATGGAAAGTGTTATTCACCAAAAAGTGAAAGAGAGGAAGAATGCCTACTTGCTATCTCTCTCATAGAAATTTTTGGTCATTGTGCATTGCGTAAGATCTTTATTCAATCAATAGGTAATCTGAAAATGTTGAAAGTTTTCAATATAAATTTTACTACATAAGGAATAAATAAAATTAATTGGCCTTTCAATTTGCATATTTTCTTTGAGGCCCATTCAACATACACTTGATAGATTTGTCAGCCTATGAAATCATGCATAGGTTGTTTAAATATCTTATTTTCCATCTACATAGCCTATGAAATCATGCATAGGTTGTTTAAATATCTTATTTTCCATCTACATAGACAATATTATTAGGTTTCTCACCTCTTTTTTTGTTGTCATTATGAATGTTTCCTATCATAATCTTTCCTAATTTTTTCTTTTCTTTTTTTTTATTTTTAGGCAAGACAGATTGGTACTCTTTGAAGATGAAATCCAAGTTGAATCCTAATTAGATTGTGAACTAGATTATGAATTTATGAGGAATAACTCTCATGAGTAAGTGAACAATTCATGATTTACCTCAAGCTATGCCCCAAAACAATACAATTCTTATCTGAAAGGAATTTTCTATTACAGAAAAATAGACATGTTTTGTGAAATTTTTTTTGAATATTTTTTTTTTCAGAATTTTTTTCTAATACCTGTCACATTTTTAGGTAACAACAAAAAGTTACTTCCAAAATTTCAAAAGCTATTTTTTGTGCAAAAATGAAAACAATATGAAGAGAATGGTGTTTTTGAAATTTTCATTTTTTTCTGAAAATAAAAAATAAAAAATAAAAAAAGTGAACATTATATGTAGCAAAATATAGATATCTCTATCCTCTATAGAAATATATTGCTAAATTGTTATTGAGTTTTCATTTTCTTTTTGCAGTTGTCAACCATAAACAATGCTGAGCTACTGCCTAAGGTTATGTGATGTCTACCTTAGGATTTTATTGTGTAAGGACATACGCTTCCTATGATTTGTGTTTCTAAATGATTGTCTTGCTTTGCAATATCAAAACTCCTACTCTAACTAAAGGAATGTTTACCTAATGTGTGCTAAAGAAAGAGTGAATAGAGAGGGAGGGGGGGTACCTAGTGTGTGTAATTTTACTTTCTATGCATTGTAATGGAGCTTGTATCCTAAATTATTTATCTCAATTAACAATATTATATGTTTGTTTTCATGCTTGTTTGCATTTGTGGTAAAAAAAATTATTGCAATTTGCTCTTTACTGAAATGTGATTAACTAGTAATAATTTAGAGTACAACAATGAATTGTTGCTTGAATTTGTGAAGAAGAGCTTGTAATTCATTTGAAGGGAGTTTATATTACGGAATCCAAAGAGTCCGTACTTAGATTTATGTTAGGGAATCCAAAGTGTCCATACTTAGAATCAATACACGTTATTTCAAACACACATTCACTTAAAGGCTTAAACATATATGGGGTGAATCCATCCGACATATATTAGGACTTTTCTTTTTCTTTTCTTCCAATATGGGATCACTTTACTTCAAGAAGTTCCAACAATCTCTCCCTCAAATGTGAACTTATACATTGGGCAAAGTTTTTGCTCGAGTCTAATTTACTACTCTAACGTTGTGTCTTATGCCTTCTAATGAGGTTTGTAACAAGTTACTTCCAGAAAGATAGTTGAACTATCTCATGCAACATTTCAAAAACATAGGATGATTATAAAAACATATGGGAAATAATGTTTCTTTAGCAATGAATCCTTAGCAATTGATTCTTATATTTATCTCAAGTGAATATGAGGACCAATAATATTGAGGAAATAGAAAATGACACATTACAAAGACATAGGATCTCCATTTAGAAATAGAAATCTATTGCTTGCCCCTTTTGGAAAGAAGTGCTTTAGTCACTAGGGTAACGTCCAAGCAACTCGTGTATAGTTTATGGTTTACATGTCCAAGTCCAACCAATATTGACAAACAACATTTATTCATACATATCAACATCATCAACTAAGGAAAACATTGCAGGCCTTATTTGGAAGTAAGTTCTCAGTAACTATAGAAACATCCAAGCAAATTGAATCATAATGTGGTCGGTTTTAGTTCTCAATTAATAAAATCAAAAGATTTAGTTCAATGCCAAATTTTATCCAACTCCGACAAAACAAAACCGTTAAACCCTAGTGAGCATGCTTGTAACTACAAAGGCAACAACTAAGTCTCCTCAGCATGGAATTTGTTAGCTATCTGAGCTTGCTAATTTTATTACTTATCTTCCTTCTCCTAACCAAGAAATCTTCCAAAGGGCTCCCACAAACAAGATATATGTGGAACACAAAATATTGAGAATTTTTTTTTTTAAATAAAAAAAAGACATGTACTAAATCCATAAACAAGCAATATGTGGAACACATCAAATTTTGATGGCATGAAAAATGACAATTATTGTCCATCTTCAAACTCCTAACTCCAGCATCGAGTACAACCCACCATGTCTTGACTTGCCACCCACCAAAATATATATGGTTATTGTACAAGCAACATTAAAGGTTAGCCTGATAGATGAGTTACCAAATGTAATGTCTAAATTCAAGTTTACTGTTATGTAGCTTCCCCTCCCCGTATTACCCTGCTACCAATTTAAATATGTATATATATATATATTGTAGCAAGCATCCACCTCACTCCATGTTCTGTTTACAAAGAAGCATCCAAAAGCACATGATAATGGCCTTCCACTTTCTTTCGTTTTATCGGCAAAAAAATCACTTTATTGATATAAATGAAGAAATGAAATACATCAATAAAGCATAAGGAAGTGCAAAAAGAATCAAAGCTAAACCGAAACCAAAAAACAAACAAACAAACAAACACAAAAACACACACAGAGAGAGAGAGAGAGAGAGAGAGAGAGAAAGAGAGAGAGAGAGAGAACAAGAGCAGAACTCATTCTCGCACAACTTAAAAGAGCAACCGAAAAACTTCCCTAAAACTCCCAAATCAAGAACAACCCTCAGCCTTAAAAAGCAACAACACTGCCTTATAACTTAAGGCTTTCCATAGCAGCAAAAATATTTTTCACGAAAGCAAGACCTCCCTAGCCAACAAAACAACAACTCTACACCACCAGCAACATCAAAGAACATACCAGTAGCAACAACAAGAACAATAAAAAAAAACCAAGCCTCCTTCACACCTCAACCATCTTATCGCTTCAATGTTTGTCTGTAACGCCCTCAAATAATAACATTAATCCCATCACTTTAGACATGCATTGACATAAAAGAAATCAAACATCTTTCTATTAATCAGAGTAGTTCTTACAAAAATATTACATGTTAACAACAAAAGCAAGTGCCCTACGGGCTTACAGCTTTCCAAGTTAACACTTGGTTACAAAAAGAAGAGTGCTAACTCAATACATAATAAGCCCTTGGCTTGAATTTACATGTAATACATCAAAAGAAAGTAAACAAAACAATCTGCCTGCCTCTAGCCTCCCAAGCTACGTCCTTGGAGGTGGCATGCTACCGGTACCTGAAAATGATGTCCCATAAAGGGTGAGCCACAGCCCAGTAGAAATATACTAAACCAAATATGAACAATGACTAAAAGATTAGCAGTTGATAGATGGCCAACACATCAACAACAGATACGATTCAACAATAATTCACATATATCGATTTCAGAACATTAAGTCCATGTTACATTTCATTTCTCATATCTTTTTCCAACTTTGAGTTTGAAACAAAGGCTCAACACTTAGCCAAAAACTTAATGAGGTTTAGACTCATCTTTAAAACATTTTAAAAATTCATGAGGGATACCCATTTTAATGCTGTATCAATAACACATAAACCATTCCACACTTGCGAAAGATGCACATTTCAGTACTATAACAAACATAAGAAAAAATCACTCCCTATACTTTACAATTGATAACGATATACATTTTAGTACTATATCAAAATCAATTCAAACACTTCCATAAGTCTTCAAATAATACACATTGTTGTGTTGTATTAATGAAACAAAAATACTTCTATTCGTAGCCTGATACACATTGTAGTGCTGTACACTGTCACAACAAACCCGGTTTAGAGGTCCATCCCCTATCTTCCCTAAACGTGGAGTAAGATCCCCATGTCCTCCCCAACAACACATGTATATAAACAAGATCATATACAATCAATCAAGTTACACTGGAATTTATGTAATTATTCCACTTGCTAAATTCAATAGCATACTCAATCGATTCAGTTTAGTTTTGCCTAATCATCATGCATGTCTACAACAATCAAGG